CCTCCGCCCCGCGCGGGCCTCCGGGAGGGCCCGCCCCACTCGTGGATTTCGGGGGAGGAGGGTCCACCTAGGACGAGAGGCCTGAAGCCTGGATTTCAGGGTCCTTCTGGGTCCCTAGAGCAGGGGCTGGGAGCCTGGACCCCAAGAGGGTCTCTGGGAGACGAGTGGCTAGGAAGCCGGACCCCTGGGTTTGCACAGCGGAACCCCCCCACCCCCTCGAAGCGGGAAACTGCGATGTTGGAATCCAGTCCAGAGATTAGTAGCCACACCTCCCGCCACCCCTCGGAAGTCAGGTCCCTGGGCGAAGGCTGGGCCTCCCGGGCCACCTGGGAGGTGCTACGCGGGACTCGGCCACCTCCTCCCCCCACACGCCCTTTGAAAACCCGTTAGGAGGAAGTCAGGACCGGCCTACACTCTGGCGTTCTAGAAAGCGGGTACTGCTGGGTCCCAAGCAGGGAAGGAGGAAGAGCGCGAGCTACAACTCCAGAAGTGCCTCAAGGAAGGAGGTGGGTAGCTCAGGGACCACCCGGAGGGGAGGGGTCCATCTCCTTCCGCCCGGCTTCCGGCCGCCACCTGAGATCAGAACTCAGGAATGCACAGCCAAAGACAGCCGGAGAGAGGACACACCGCTTCGGCTTCTCCGCGCTGCTTACGGGCTCCCCCGGCCACGCCCATCCCCTCTCGCCACCTCCACGCCAAACACCACACCCCATCACTCAGACTGAGAATCGCGTCCCTAAACCCCAGCCTACACTCTCAGCAACCCAAGGACGCTGGCCTCAGCCTTGGCTTCTCTCCGCCCAGGACACCAGCCTCCCAGTCCTCGCTTTTTGGCCTCTGGGGCCCAAAGTTCGAATTCTGTCCCCGGAATGAAGGGGTGGGGAGCGGGGAAGGCCACTCTCTTTCCCAAACCCAAACTCCCAACTCCAAGCTCCTCCCCTCCTGAAGACCTTCTTCTACTAGGTATCAGCCCCTTTCAACCAGAGCACATAGGGGTTCCCATCCCTCTCAAACCCAGGAGCCCAGACCCCCAGCCCCCTCCTCCCTCAGACCCAGGAGTCCAGGCCCCCAGCCCCTCCTCCCTCAGACCCAGGACTCAGAGCCCCAGCCCCTCCTCCCTCAGACCCGGGAGTCCGGACTCCCAGCCCCTCCTCCCTCAGACGCGCAGGATTCAGGACTCCCGTTCCCCTCCTCTTTCAGATGGATGACCTGTATGAGTGCAGGTCTCAAGCCCTGTCCTCTCCAGAACCCGACTCCTGCTCCATGCCCTAGTCTTTCTAGAGAGTCAGACACTTCCGACCCCAGCCCTTTCCACCCTGTGCACCCAGGAATCCTGACCGCGGCTTCCACGCCGGGGGTTCCGCAGCCTCACCTCTCCCGCAGGCGGCTGCTGCCGAGCAGAGGCGGCAGCTGCAGACTGTAAGGGTTTGCTTACTGGGTGGGGTTAGCGGCCGGGGGCGGGGCCGGGGGCGGGGCCGGGGACCCGGCGGGAGCGCGGGTTTCGGGCTGAGATAGGGACTCCCCGAGCCGGGGTATCCCAGCCCCACCCCCGAGGCGGGGCCAAGAAAAGACCACGCCCCTCCCCGGATACAATGGACCGAGCCTCCCCAGCCAAGCCAGTGGTGGGGGTGGAGGGCTGAGGTCACTGTTGCCGTGGTGACAAAACAGGAAGACACAACAGCTGGCGGTGTGGAGGCTCCTGGGGGCTGCCCTCCCCGACTCGGCCCTCGCGCAGTCTCCAGGCGCGGCCCGAGAAGGCCGTTGCCATGGCAACCCCTCTGTTTAGCGTCTGTTTAGGACGGAGCCCCCAGCCCAGGTCCCCCACCCCAGTCTCACCTCACTCAATCCTCCCTCTCCCTTCCGGCCCCCTCCCCTCCCCGTCTGCTCCAGCCCCGCTCTTCCAGGACGGATGAAATCTTGGACATCTGGGTGGCAGCCGGTTGGGAGACTAGGCCTCTCAGTTTAATGGGGTCTGTGGGCTAGGGTCTCTGTCGCCTGGGTCTCTGAAAGGCGAAATAGTTGAGGCTGCTGATCTCTAGGCTTTAAGGGGTTTCTGCGCTGAGGTCCCCGACTCCTGGGTCCCCAAATCTTCATTTATACTGGGACTCGCGGTGTTAGGGATTGGTGGGCGGGACTCCTGGGTCCCAGATGTCACAGTCGATGGGGGCAGGGGAAGGGCTGTTGATAGCAAAACGCCTGGATCTAGGGCGGTGGGAGTCGGAGGCACGGACTCCCAGGTTCCAAATGACGCCTAGGCTGGAGGCCCAGATTCTTGGCGCAAAAAGCAATCAAAGCTCAGACTCCTGGGTTTTCATCCGCTCAGATGTGGTTGCAAGCGGAGCCTCCTAGGTCTGGAACGGAGAGATATTTTTGGCCTGCATTCCTGGTTCCCGGATTGAGGGAGGGGCTCAGGAGCTCGATGAGGACCGGGCTGGGAGGCAGGGGGCTTCAGATTCCTGGTTTCTGCAAAAAGGGAGGGGCCCGAGTCGCTGGTCTGCCCGAGGCCCACAACAGGGAGGGGCTGCGGGGTCCTTTCTTAGGGCGACTCTGGGGCCCTGAAACTGAGGGACGGAGTCCAGAAGCAAGCTGAAGCTGAAGGTCGGGATGCCTGCCCGGGGTAGGGGCGGGGACCGGGACGCCTGGGTCCCTCCCTGCTGGCCCTGCTCACTCACCGCGCTCTGCAGTCGTCCCTGGTGCGGCCTTGCTCGCGGCTGCCTCTGGGCGGGGCCTGGTGGCGGCTGCGGCTGCTCCGCGACGCTGAGCTAACGGGGCGCTGCTGGGTGCCTTCCAGGAGGACAACTAAGGAGGCTTTGAGACCCAGCCCTAGGGTGGAAGGCGCGCGAGTCGCGACGGGGTGGGGTGGTGGGAAGGGGTCCGGGAGCCTGTCTAGCAGGCTGCGTGCCCTACGGAGGTGGGAGGGGCTGGGGGGCCTAGAATCGGTGAGCTCGGCAGTATGGGGGGGGGCATGGGGGGGAGGGATGAGGAGCGTGCCTGCCCACTTTTGTGCCCCCGCAAAGGGGATAGGCACAGACCCTCTCTGTCATTTCTGTGCTCTGCATAGGGGAAGGGGTCTCCATGAGCCAGGCATCCCGGCCCTGCCTAAGGAGTCAGGACACCGTGCGAGTTGGAGATTCTCCGGCGTGGTCCCCGGGTTCCACTCAGACTCCTCCTTGGCCCCCACAGTGCAGAGGCATCTCTCTCCCGCTTCCTGCCCCAGTCAGTCACCCTCTTTGACCCCCCATAGCGGCACTCAGATACCCCAAATAGTCCAGGGGTAGCCTCCACCCACACAATTTACTATGTTGTGCTCTCTGGTGGAAATGTTTTTCTTTAGGCACGAAAAGCCCAAAACAGCAGAGTTCAGGGTAGCAGGAAGAGGAAGCAAATATTGAAAGAATGAGTCACCGGGTGTGATCTTGAGAAGTGATACCTTAGGGTTCCTGGGTATGTAATCTGGCACCATGCATGTGCCCCTGGTTCGGAGTGTTTGCCCATCCTGTAGGACAGCCCCCAACACCAAGGATGTGGTCTCCAACCTGGCACTGTAATGCACTCTCAAACAGGCTATACCTCTGTTTTATGAAGCTCACTGCTTTGGGGTGATGGGGTACATGGGCCTGCCCACCCACTTCCTAATAAATGGAATTCCTTGATCAGAAGCAATATTGTGTGGGTCAACATGATGGTGAATAGGGCCATTCAGTGGGTACACAGATGCTGCTGTTGGCGGGAGTGGGTAAGGAAAGGAAAGCAAATAACAACCCAGATTTAATTATTCCAGGGAGGAAAAAGTCATTGCTCAATTCATGATGGTGGGAGCCCAACATAATTCTCAGGTGACCAGGTGTTTGGCTGGTGTCCCTAGGAAACCTACCACGCTAGGGGCTCAGCACTGCTCAAGAAAGCACTTTACTTAGTATTACTGATTTATTACAAAGGATGCAACTCCAGAACAGCCAAATAGAAGAGACACATAGGGCAAAGTATGGAAGGAGAGATGCAGAGCGTCCATGTAGAAATACCACCTCCCAGCACCCTGATGCATTTACCAACCTGTTTAGGAATTTTATGGAAGTTCCGTTACATGGGATGGTTGATTAAATCATGGGCTATCCATGATCAAGCTCAATCTCCTCCAGGGAGGTCAGGGGATAGGGCTGAAAATTCCAACCTTCCAATCACAGGATTGGTTTCTCTGGCAGTCAGCCCCCATCCTGAGCCACCTAGGGGCTCCCCGTGACTCATCTCATTAGCATAAACTCAGGTAGGATTGAAAGGGGCTTATATTGAACAAAAGATTCTCCTCTCACCCCAACCACTCAGGAATTACAAGGGTTGGGAATGTCTGGGTGGCTCAGTCGGTTGAGCGTCTGCCTTCAGCTCAGGTCATGATCCCAGGGGCCTGGGATCGAGTCCCGCATCGGGCTCCCTGCTCAGCGGGGAGTCTGCTTCTCCCTCTGCTGCTCCCTGTGCTTGTGCTCTCTGTTTCTCTCTCTATCTGACAAATAAATAAATAAAATATTTAAAAAAAAAGGAATTACAAGGGTTTTAGGGAGCTCTGTTCCATCAATATCACATGGATCTTTCCATACATACTCCAGGTCCATCTGAAACTTGCATTCATTCATCAACAAATATTTATGAGTGAGCATAAAGCAGGCTAAGGAATACCTCCTCTCGTGGAGATTTTATCTCATTTGTTAGTGGCAAAGGGCTCGAGATGCAGTAACTTCATCTGAATGGGATATTCCCACTGTCCTCAGACTACCTGATTCTCAGGTAACTTCCTTGAGGCGACAGGCTCCCCGATTTTCATGGTGTTTATCTCCCATGCTCTGGCATGTGTGTGTCTTTTTTTTTTTTAAATGTGTGTTCTTTTTTTTTTTAATATTTT